GTTCTTCCTCGCTCACCTACTTGTGTCAGCGTTTCTTAGCTGTAAGGCCTAAAATAGCCCAGCTACAATCTTGCAGGCCTCAACCCACAGGCCTTGAGTTTCAAGCTTACTGAGACATCTAGTACAGGATTATTCCTACATCCTGATACATACTTCTATAGCCCTACAACTTAACTCTATTTAGCATACAGTGCCAATTCATCATAACCACACAATAAATGAACCAGCTACTAAAATAATTGGCTACATGGTCCTATAAAACACTGAGAGTTGAACAGTGGGGCACTTCCAGCCATGGGCGGACATGTCGTCAGGACCAACTAGAGAGTTGAAGCTCACAAGCAGGGGCAGATGATTGTTTTGCGGGGCCCCGGGCAGCATAACTCCGAGGGGCCCCACCTTTGCCTTGGCGCATGCGCCGTGACACCATGCGCATGCGTGGTGGCACCACAGCGCATGTGCGGGGCTCTTTTAAGCGCTGGGACTGGGGCGGCCGCCCCGTTTGCCCTGCCCTATATCCGCCCCTGCTCACAAGTGAATGAAGATTTGACTTCAGCTTCTTTTTTATCATCGCTAGTGGTTGGAACCGATCTGGGTGCTACGTTTCCTGGGCTGGAAGCCGCCAGGATTCATCTCTTGTTACTCCCAGCCACAACCACTCAGCGGAGTGACTTGTTCTCGGGTTCCTTGTGCCCCTCATTCATCAGAAAAGCCCGACCAGCTCCGCCAGGGCATGAGATCTTCAGGCCTGTCCCCAGACACCAGTGTCTGTAGACCCCCTTCCCTACCATTCTGTCTGCTCCTTTGCTACTGTCTCCTCCCATTTCCCCAGTGCGCTTCCCAAGCACCTACCCCCGTCCCCACCTCTAATACTCACAAGAGCAGCGATATGTGGAGGGACTTTAACTCCCTCAGACACCTGATGGGCAGAATCCCCTGGGATGTTAACATGAAGGGGAAAGGAGTCCAGGACAGCTGGCAGTATTTTAAAGAAGCCTTATTGAAGGCACAGAAAGTAACCATCCCGACACGTAGCAAGAGAGGCAAACATGGTAGGAGACCGGATTGGCTTACAGGGGAAATCCTTGCTAAACTTAAGCACAAAAAGGAAGCTTACAAAAAGTGGAAACTTGGACAAATGACCAGGGAGAAGTTTAAATGTATAGCTCGAGAATGCAGGGAGGTTATCAGGAAGGCGAAAGCGCAATTGGAATTGCGACTGGCAAGGGATGTGAAGGGTAACAAGAAAGGTTTCTACAGGCATGTTAGCAATAAGAGGGTGATCAGAGAGGGTGTGGGGCCCCTACTGGATGAAGGAGGTAACCTAGTGTAGAAGCTGTAGAAACCATTTTCATATTTAGCTAGAAGCCATCTTGTATAACAGAAACCATTTCAGCTTTTCTCTCAAGCACGTAGACCAGAGTGAACTTTGTCACCCCGTGAGAAGAGGCCTACAGGATGGGCTATTGGTATGTGTTAATTGGGCTGGTTGGGACAGGAGATGCACTCCCTTGTACCTGTCTGCCATCTTGTTGATAAGGCTTTGTTTTTCCAAGTTTAATTGAGGATTTCTGTAATTGGATGCCCTGACGTCAGACTGTTTGGCTAAGGGTATAAAGATACTAGGATTGATTGTATTAGCCAGCCTTACTGGGCCTGGCTCTGCTGGGACCATGTTTGGCTCATGCTGTGCTTTATTAATTAATAAAGCTGTTTGTTAGCTGCCTAAACAGAGAGGAGCGTTTTTTGCTTCAACACTAGTAACAGCTGATGTAGGAAAAGCTGAAGTACTCAATGCTTTCTTTGCCTCTGTCTTCGCAGTCAAGGTCAGCTCCCAGACTAATGCGAGACGGGATGAAGATGGACAGCCCTCGGTGGGTAAAGAGGAGGTTAGGATCTATTTAAAAAAGCTAAACATACATAAATCAATGGGTCTGGACTTAATGCATCTGAGGGTACTGAGAGAGTTGGCAAATGTCATTGCAGAGCCTTTGGCCATTATCTTTGAAAACTTGTGGAGATCAGGAGAGATCTTGAACGATTGGAAAAAGGCAAATGTAGTGCCCATCTTCAAAAAAGGGAAGGAGGACGATCCAGGGATCTATAGGCCGGTCAGTCTTACCTCAGTCTCTGGAAAAATGATGGAAGGGATCCTTAAGGAATCCATTTTGAGGCACTTAGAAGAGCAGAAAGTGATCAGGAATAGTCAGCATGGATTCACAAAGGGCAAGTCGCGCCTGACCAATCTGATTAGCTTCTATGATGAGGTAACTGGCTCTGTGGATATGGGAAAGTCAGTGGATGTGAGATACCTTGATTTTAGCAAAGCTTTTGATATGGTCTCCCACAATATTCTTTCTTGCAAGATAAGGAAGTATGGATTGGATACATGGACTATAGATTGGATAAATGGCCGGAAAGCTGGCTAGATGGTCGTGCCCAATGGGTAGTGATCAATGGCTTGATGACTGGTAGACAGTCAATTTCAAGCAGTGTGCCGGATGATCACTTCTAGGGCCGATTTTATTCAACATTTTTATTAATGACCTGGCTGAGGGGATGGATTGCACCCTCAGCAAGTTTGCGGATGACACTAAGCTAGTGGGAGAGCAGGGATAGGGTCCAGAGTGACTTAGATAAATTGGAGGATTGGGCCACAAGGAATCTGATGAGGTTCAACAAGAACAAGTGTAGAGTCCTGCACTTGGGATGGAAGAATCCCAAGCATTGCTATAGGCTGGGGACCAAATGGCTAAGTAGTAGTTCTGCAGAAACGGACCTGGGGATTGTAGTGGACGAGAAGCCGGATATCAGATAACAGTGTGCCCTTGTAGCCAAGAAGGCTAATGGCATATTAGGCTGCATTAGGAGGAGCATTGCCAGCAGATCCAGAGATGTCATTATTCTCCTTTATTCGGCTCTGGTGAGTCCACATCTGGAGTTTTGTGTCGAGTTCTGGACCCCCCACTATAGAAAGGATGTGGACGCATTGGAGAGGGTCCAGCGGAGGGCGACCAAAATGCTTCGGGGGCTGGAGCATACGACCTACGAGGAGAGGCTGAGGGATTTGGGTCTATTTAGTCTGCAAAAGAGAAGGGTGAGGGGGGATTTGACAGCAGCCTTCAACTTCCTGAAGGGAGGTTCCAAAGAGGATGGAGAGAGGCTATCCACAGTAATGAGAGATGGGAGAACAAGGAGCAATGGTCTCAAGTTTCAGTGGGAGAGGTCTGGGTTGGACATTAGGAAAAACTAGTTCACTAGGAGGGTGGTGAAGTACTGGGATGGGGTCCCTAGAAGTTTTTAAATCCTGGCTTGACAAAGCCCTGGCTGGGATGATTTAGTTGGGTTGGTCCTGCTTTGAGTAGGGGGCTGGACTTGATGACTCCTGAGGTCTCTTCCAGTCCCGGGATTCTCTGATTCTATTATTTAAAAAGGCCCCAGGGCTGCTGCTGTCTGTCGTGTGGTTCAGCTTTTGGATACGAGAGGAGCCAGTCAAAACACCTCAGATAAACTCTTCTTAACTTTATCATGCACAGAATGGTAAAGGAAAGCAGTGCAAGGTTACACAGATCTGTTCAATACACAGGATAGATAGCACAGACAATAATAGAACACCTACACCTGGCACAATACCCCAGATACTTGATTTTAAGCATGGGATATACATGTACTTATGTCTATAAATCACTCACAGTTCCACCGCTAAGACCTTACGATTGTCAGATGATTGTCAGACGGGAGGTCGTGGCCTCATTTCCCCATGCGCAGAGGCATCCATATGCCTTAGTCACTAGGAACAAGCACAGCTTCTACTTGCAGCGGGTTAGGTCATGGGGACCTCTTACCGAATCCCTCCCACCGATTATCTTTTCTACTCCTACTTTTACAGCCATAGCAAGACTTGGTCGTTCTAGTAAAATCTACCAATTAATCATGTATTGTTTATGCCCCTCTTTTGGACATGTCCTGCTAGTCAAACTACACGATACTTAATGGATAGTTCTATGGCTGCATGGGTGATTTTTGCTCATTAGAATTGTTATGTACCAGTACCGGGTTACTCCCAGTGATCTCGGCACAGTATCTCTAGACCAATACTCCCAGCACACTAGAGTTTAACGCACTCCTGATTCTCAAAGCTCACCCCCACTTGGCCTGGCCCATGTGCTTTCATGCACTAGGTTCAAATCAGGCCTGGTTTGCTATGTTGGAAGACACACTTTGGTCAAGGCAGCCATCGTTAGTCCAGGCCCTGCAGGGCGGGACAACACAGACATTATTATTCTGGTCAAGACGGGGTTGTACAGGCTGCCCTACACTGTCACCCCCTGCAGCAATGGGGCTAACGCGGCTCCCTGCTTGCTCTCGCTCTGCGATGGCTCCCGGCACGTCTCTGCAGCCCCTGGGCAGGGTGTGTGTGTGTTTGTCCCTGCACATCCCCCACCAGCCCAAGTGCTCCTGTGGCCAGTGGGAGCTGCAGAGAAGGTGCATGCAGGCAGCAGGGTACAGAACCCCTGCCCCATCCCCCTGCCTAGGAACGGATGTCAGAGGAGGAGTGCCACAGGTGAGCACAACACTGCTCACTCCCTGCCCCCGTGTCCGCTCCTCCCACCCTCGCCCCACCTGCACCCGAATTCCTTCCCAGAACTTGAACTCTGCATTCCCTCCTGCACCCCAATCCCTGAGCCTTCCCAGAATCTGAACCCTTCCTGCACCCCCACTCCCTGCCCCAGCCCGGAGCCAAACTCCCTCCCAAAGCCTTAGGCAGGTGCAGGGGAGGGACGAGGGCCCATTCTGGGCACCACCATTTCTACAAACTCACCTCCCTGGGGTGTTTATGTAGCAACGTGAGAACGCTAGGTTTGTTTCTCCCCTGAGAGCTCCCTCCCCCACTCGAGTAGACAGGACTTCCTCTTGCAGAAACCCTGCTGATTTGAGACCTTCACATCCTGCCACTGTCATGTAGCGACCCTGCCCGCAGGTGACGTGTGGGCTGCACACGCAGCCAGGGCTGGACCTGGGCTGGCTGGGAGGCCAGTGGGTCAGTTCTGCTGCTCAGCGAGCCCTCGGTGCTGCGAGATGGAGACCATCGAAGGGCTGATGCTGGAGGTGGCTGCTGGCAGGAGTGTGGGCATTGAGATAAGCAACAAGACCAGGAGCACCCTTGAAAACCCCAGGTGAGCAGGTTCCCAGGCCCCCTCCTCGGGGCTTCCAACTCATCCTATGTCTGGGGTCTGTCCGGCTGGGCTAGGGTGTGGGGTATGTGTCTGCGACTGAGTGTCTGTCTGTATTTCTGTCCCCAACACCTCCTCTATCTGTCTGTCTGTCTGTCCATCCGTCCCCAAACACTCTCTCTCTCCCCATGCAGTGCCCCCCGTCCTGCTGACTGGGTGAGTTCTGTGTGTCTCATTGGGCCACTGCAAATCCTCCTTCTGTTGAGCCTGAATTTGCTGTTTTTAGCTCTGGAGGGGCTCAAGTTTGTAGTGGATCGTTGGGCCAGGGGATTGCACGTGTCCAGGACAAGGGCTGGAGGAGTTTGGAGGGAGATCACACACTTTGGGGGGTTGCTGGAGTCAGGATTGGGAGCTGGAGATAGGGGAAATCTTATTTGTCTTAGGGTACACAAGACAAATAAGACAGCTGAAGGGGGCACAGTAATCTGGAAGGGTTAAAAGTTTTAAAGTGTGTGCCCTGGGCCAGCTCATGCAGCAGCCCAGCTGGGTTTGCCAGAACGGTGCAGCAGGCACACCTAGTTTATACACCCACACATGGGCATCCAAACGTGTACACACATATCCATGTGTGCTCACGCTCTGCTACATCGACATATGATGCGGGTGTATCTATGCCCCTGCACACTGTCGTTAATAACATAATTGTAGCGCCCCCCCTCTCCACCTGGTTATCTTCTTTAATGCCAATCTGCTTATAGGTTCTGATGGAGAGGTCTGGGTTCTTCTGGATCCTGCCATACGCTCACTTTATTTTTTCCTATGCATTTATTTGGCGGTGCCTCCACCCCCCTCACTCCTTCCTGGGAGGGTCACCAGGGCAGCTTGGGAGGAAAATTCTAACCCAGGGTAATTCCCACGTACTTCCCAGATAGCTGGAGACTCCCAGAAAATAACACAAACACATACACCATATTAAACACAAGTATATGCGGTATGTCTACACTACAAAGTTAATTCGAAATAACAGCAGTTATTTCAAATTAACTTTAATAGCATCTACACAGGCAAACCGCTATTTTGAAATAAATCGAAATAGTGGAGCCCTTGTTTCGAATTTAGTAAACCTCATTCTACGAGGAGTAACACCAAATTCGAAATAGCTATTTCGAATTAAGTGCTGTGTAGACACTTAATTCAAAATAGGGGGCCTCCAGCCCTTCCCAGAGAGCCCTGGTGACCACTCTGGGCACAACCAGGAAAGCTTACTCTCCTCTCCCCCAGCCCCGGAGCCATTAAAGGGGTAGACCCTGTCCCCAGTGCCTGTGCCAGCTCCAAGCCTGCCAGCCCAGAGCCAGCAGTGGCCACAGGGGCCCCTGACCCAGTGGCCCCCAAACATGAGCCAGCCAGCCAGCCCTCCACCGCTGCCCAGGAGCAGTCTGCCAGCTCCCAGGAGCCTGACAGGGGCTGGAGAAGGCAGGCGCCTTCCTTGTCCAGGGTGGAGATCATGGACCCTATTCAGATTTGGGGGGGATGCCCCCAACTTCCATGATATCCGTACTAGATGGAGGAATGTGGCTGTCTATGGCAGGATAGCTGCCAGCCTGGCCACCAAAGGCCACATGCAAACCCAGGAGCAGGTTAGCATGAAAGTAAAGTTGGTCTGGCAAGACCCTGAACCCTGAGCTTCCCCATCCCCTTCTTCCCCTGGCTTCCCCCTTCCAGCTCCCTCCTCCCAGGTTTCTCCCTCCCCTCTTCCACCCTCTCGAGGAATGTGGCTGTCTATGGCAGGATAGCTGCCAGCCTGGCCACCAAAGGCCACATGCAAACCCAGGAGCAGGTTAGCATGAAAGTAAAGTTGGTCTGGCAAGACCCTGAACCCTGAGCTTCCCCATCCCCTTCTTCCCCTGGCTTCCCCCTTCCAGCTCCCTCCTCCCAGGTTTCTCCCTCCCCTCTTCCACCCTCTCTCTTCCCCTCTCCCAACTCCTTTTCCCAGTCTCCCCAGAGGTTCATCCCCTCCCCAGTTTTGTTCTATAAACCCTGTTTTTATTTTTGAACATACGTGTCTTTTATTTGACAACAGGAAGAGTAAGTGGAAGGATGTGAGGGAGGAATGGGGCACAAGCCCCCGGTGGGGAGGACCAGGGAGGCTCCTAGGGGTGGACGGTCTCCCTCAGGGCCTCCTGGATCCTGACAGCCCCCCGATGGACCCCTGGATGGAAGCCTGCAGCAAGTGCAGCTGGTCTGATGGCAACGACCCCCGAGATGCACCGGTGTGCCCAGGGGCAGCTCTGGCTCCATGTGGCTTAGTGCTGTGGTGTCCCGAGTGCGGGCACTCAGGGCACTCCAAGACAGGACTGCTTTGCTCTCCCTCATCGGGGTAGACAAGCAAGCGGGGAACCCTGAGAACTGTCTGTCCGGGGTGGGGGTAGGATCCCTTTAAGCACGGAGTTCAGTTAGCCTCAGGCAGCAGCCCCACACACTATGTCCTAACCTGATGCCCTGCCGGCACTGGTTCCGGCCAGCCTTATCTTCAGTTCAGGGTCCACTCAGTGTGGATGCACTATTTCGAAATAGCACAACGCTATTTTGAAATAGTTTTTGTGTATAGATACGAATTAGTTTAATCCGAATTAACTATTTTGTTAATTCGAAATAGTGCTGTAGTGTAGACATACCCTTAAACAGGAGACAAATATACCAGAACAGGGTAAAACACTAATTTTAGGTTCACCGGTTCCCAGCAACTGTAAGATTAGTGTCCCAGTGGTACGTGTATTTGTGGGGGCCGTTGATGACTTATGACCACAAAATTCTTCTCTGCAGCGGTTTAGCAGTGGGGCTGTCTGGGTCCAGTACAGCCCAAAGGACTCACAAGCGGGAGAAGGTGATAAATCCCTCCACAGGTTTAATATGCAGCAGGTTATAAAATCCCCAAACAAATTCCCTGCCTGACTAACTAAAAATTGGTGCACTCTCACACTCCATGAATAAGCCTCAGGTTCAGAGATGACTCAGTCACTGCAGAGGGGCTGGTCTCTGCTGGCAGGGATCCTCCTCAGGCAGGAATCAGGCTGCTTTGGTCCTAGAATTTCCCCTCACCACAAAGGGGTGCAGGGCTCAAGGTGCAGGCCACACAACTGCACTAACATTCAAACTGTAATCTCCTAGCCCAGCATTCGGACACACACACAGCTGGCAGCAGCCCTGAACTCTCAGGCTATGTCTATATTGGCAAGATTTTGCACAAATACTCTTTAACGCAAGAGTTTTTGCATTAGAGTATTTGAGTAAGAGAGCGTCTACACTGGCATGTGCTTTTGCGCAAGAGCATCCGTGCCAGTGTAGATGCTCTCTTGTGCAAGAAAGCTCGGATGGTCATTTTAACCATCGGGCTTTCTTGCGCAAGACATTCATGTTGCTTGTCTACACTGGCCTCTTGCACAAGAACAGTTGCACAAGAGGGCTTATCCCTGAGCGGGAGCGTCAGAGTATTTGCGCAAGAAGCACTGATTTCACACATTAGAACATCAGTGTTCTTGTGCAAGTACTCGCAGCCAGTGTAGACAGGTGGCAAGATTTTGCGCAAAAGCTTGCCAATGTAGACATAGCCTCAGACAGAGCAGAGCTGATCGTGTGGTGACTGGTCTCACCTAGGGAGCTGGAGAGCCAACTCAGCCTGGCTGGGGAAGTTTCCCAGCAAACTCTACAACCTGGGACTCAACAGTGGAGAAATAAAACCCAGCGGAGGGATCCTGCCTTCAGGTCCCTAGAGGCCAGTTCTCAGGGGGAACCCTGCATGCAGGCCTGGGGCTTACTAGCTCCCCCACAGCCAGTCCTCCCCTTGCCCTGGCTGGCACCAGACTTCCTCAAACAATGGCTCTCCCCCCTCCTGAACTCCCTGGGAGGGGCCTCTCACTCCCTATGGGTTGCCTGGCAGACTCTGCCCCTGGTAGGGAGGGGGAGCCAAGGCAAACTCAGAGCCTTTCCCTGAGCTGCCAGCAGACAGAGCCCCAGGAATCTAGGGAAACTCCTTGGGGGTTACATAATGTTGCCAGATTTCTCCTGAATTAACAGCCCAAAGTCACTTAAATGGTAGCTCTGATCTATTTACTGAAAGTAAGAGGTTTATTTATTACCCCATCGGGGTGTATAACAAACAACAAATGACGCTTTAGGTACCTAGCTCAATTTGGCTTTGTTTGTTTAAAGCTATAAGCCCTTGTTAAAGCTCCACATTAACAACAAGGCAGAGAAAGATCGAATTCAAATCAGCCCCCTTGGGGGAATGTTGACAGGAAAGTGTCACTCCACCACCCCCCCCCCAGCCATATTACATTCCCCTCGCTGGGTAGATCACTACACATCCAG